GTCCTACAAAATTCGGCCTCCTAAAATTAAGCCCAAAGTTATTCTTCAGCGGAATTTTGGTGGTATGGATAAGGAAGCACTCTTAAGCGACGCCCTTAGTACTGATTGGACATTGGTAACTGATGCGGTGTCTGTGGACGAACAGGTCGAGAACTTTAATCAAATTATCACTGAACTTTACGATAAACATGCCCCTTTTCGTCCCATTAAGCTAAAACACCTACCAGCGCCTTGGCTCACGAATGACATCAGAGCATTAATGCACAAGAAGGATATCGCCAAAAGCAAGTATAAACGCCGACCGACTGACTCCAATAAAGCTAACTACGTTAGAGCCCGTAACTACTGCAACTTGGTGTGTAGGGATGCTTTACGTCGCCATATTCACGTCTCAGTAGATAATAAAGATCCTGCTAAAGTCTGGAATTTTCTTAAGTCACTTGGAATTGGTAAGCCCCGACAAGAATCTGTTCCCAGTAGCATTAACGTCAACTCCTTAAACCTTCACTTTTCATCTTCTTCTAGTCTAAGTGACTCAGACAAGACTAACACTTTAAATTATCTTTCTTCTTTACCAGTTCCAGACTACTCTCCTTTTACTTTTACTCAATTCTCTGAATGTGACGTTAAGAAGAGTGTGCTTTCTATCTCATCCAATGCGGTGGGGAATGACAGTATAAGTCGCAACATGTTAATACCAATCTTAGATATAATTCTTCCTGTGCTTACTTTCCTTTTTAACAATTCTATTCTTAACGCTGTTTTTCCATCGGCTTGGAAGCAAGCTCAAATTATCCCATTGCCAAAAAAATCAAATCCTCAATCTGTCGCTGATTTTCGCCCCATTTCCATTCTTCCTTTTCTATCTAAGGCACTTGTTCTTAATCAATTTAATATATTCCTTTCTCGCCACGATCTCTTCAATCCTCTTCAGTCCGGTTTCCGTCCAGGGCATAGTACTACTACTACCTTACTTAAAGTCACAGATGACATACGTCTTGGGATGGACCACGGTTTCCTTACGGTATTAACACTGTTGGACTTTAGCAATGCCTTTAATACTGTCAACTTTGAAATTCTTTTGGCATTGTTACGCTCACTTAACGTATCTCCATCGGCGATTGAGTGGTTTCACAGTTATCTGTATGGGCGCAGGCAACGAGTCCGCCTCGACGAGATGTTTTCTTCTTGGTGTGACACGACTGCTGGCGTTCCACAAGGCGGCGTCTTATCTCCTCTACTCTTCGCTGTATTGATCAATTCTATTTCTAATAATATTTCTTCTTCCTACCACCTATATGCAGATGACCTCCAGATTTATCAACAAGCTCCCGTTGGTCAACTTGGTGATGCAGTGTTGGCCACTAATAGTGACTTGAACATTATTTTGGAACGGAGTAAATCTTTTGGGCTGGACGTTAATCCTTCTAAAACAAACACTATAGTAATTGGAAGTTCCAGGATGATCACTAGAGTTGACTGGCAATCACTCCCCAAAGTCCATCTTGCGGGCACCAATATTCCATTTAGCACCTCAGTGAAAAACTTAGGTTTAACTTTCGACAGCTGCATGAGTTGGGGACCCCAGATGCAAGTGCTCAGTCGTAAACTGTTTGCTTCCGCAGCTTCTTTAAAGAGACTGCGTAATTTCCTACCCACTACCACCAAAATTACCTTAGCTCAGACACTCTTGCTTCCTATTCTTGATTATGCTGACGTCTGCTATCTAGATCTCACGGAGGCCCAGCTTGATAAACTTGAGCGGCTTCAGAATTTCTGTATACGATTCATATTTGGCCTGCGCAAATATGATCATGTTTCTCAATTTCGTTCACAGCTCAAGTGGCTGCCTATTCGCTTTCGCCGGAATACTCATATCCTTATTCTTCTCTATAACGTACTGTTTAATCCTTTGACCCCGCGCTATCTTAAGGAATGTTTTAACTTCCTTCACACCTCTAACACATTGTCCCTAAGGTCATCAGAAAATTTTGCTCTGATTACACCTGTGCACGGAACAACTTTTTATGGCCGCTCATTCGCAGTGCAAGCTGTTCGCCTATGGAATTCGCTTCCAGTTTCCATTAGACGTGCAGAATCTCTGCACAGATTCAAAAACCTTCTAAAATCTCACTATTTGTCCTTATAGCTCTTCTATTCTATTTATTTCCCCTCAAAGAACTACACTTATATATGGTACATACTTATGTATTTTTTTGTATATATATATATATATATATATATATATATATATATATATATATATATATATATGTATCTATTTACCTATGTATATATGAGTGTATTTATGTATATCTATGTATTTATATGTGTTTATTTGTTTTATATACTCGGTTTGTACATAGATTTTCTCGCGTATTATTGCAGTTAATTACACCGCCGTCTTTCCAGCTTCTTTCTTGTCCTCTCCATCCCAAGGTTGTCTGGAAGAGATCGCTCTTAGCGATAAGACCGCCCATTTTTACACTTTAAGCAGCCATTATGTATGTTTTATATATTTTTTTTTTGTGGTGTAAAATAAAGAGTTTTTATTATTATTATTATTATTATTTATTGTGTGTGTACAAAATAAATAAAAAATAAATAAACTTTTATTCCTACAAAGTCTACCTAAAGAACATTGGTCTTAAACGGGTATTATTGTACCTAATCAAATATTTCGACTAATAATTTTTAGTGTTTCACTTAAATGTACAAACATCATCTCACCACCGTCTTAGTAGTTTCTATAATTATATTAAAGTAGTACTCATAGTAGGTAAATTAAACATGTGAAAAATATTCGATATTGAAAAAATATCGATATTTTCAAACGATATATCGATGTTTTTTTTGACATTTTTTAATCCCTCCCTCCCCCTTGGTAATACGTGGTGAGGTTAAAGACTACCCCCCCCTGCCCCTATATCACGTGTATTTTTACCTACTACCTACAATCAATGTATTTTTTTATATATATAAAATAAAGGTATAAGTATCATCTAATGTTGTTATAGAAAGTTAAAGACTACCAAAAATAACTTACTTAGCTATTACGACAGAAAGGATGCAGGTTGTTTTTGACTGACATAAAAAAATAATGAAAGAAATGCGAAAAACTTTTAGTAATAATACATGAACATTATTTAATGTACAGTATCCTTTATATACATTTCTACCCGGCTTCGCCGAAATATAGTTATGTTTTTCAAGTGTATTTATATGTATTTCTTTGGCACTCTCTGTGGCCTAAACAATTTAATTGCTTTAGGCTTAAGAGGTGTAGTTAGATTCTTCCTAGTTATGAGAGTGACACTCGGTATATAAAAGATAAATAAATAGCACAAACAAAAACTGACTAAAAACCAGAAAACCTCCCGAAGAGTCTTCCTGTAGACCACTTTTGCTCATTGCCCATTCTATCGAAGCCTATGAAAATAGTTTTTAAAGTGATTCAAGAAATATTTTGCGCGACATTCCGGTAGGGGCGCTGCTTAGTTTTCATAGAAACTTTGACGATGTGATACGATTACGGTGATGTCAAAGTTCATGCTTGAACTGCAGATATTCGCGACAAGTTTTCAACAAGGGTATCGAAGATTTGCGTAGCCTTGTACGAAGGGCCTTATAATAAGTTATAAAATTTATCAGTAGAGTTTCACAGCTACCCACTTAAATTATGCTAGCTGTCATTACCAGACGGTGTCAGTAAGTGTATGACTGCGTTGTAGGTACCTATTCATTATACCGAGCTAATGGAAGATGGTTATCGATTTTCGCTTATCGTTTACGAGTACGACTGTGCCGGCTGCGTTCAGCTTCGAAAAAAAAGATTTCCGGACTTTATTCAATTTAACTAGAAATGTTTAATATTTTTCGTAGACTTCTCGAGTTAGCTGATCGCAATGAATACGGTCATGTATTATTGCAATTCACTACTCACTTATCGGTAATGTTTTCTGAGTGTTCTCATCCATTCTTAGGGTTCCGTACCTTAACAGAAAAAAACGGAGCGCTTAAAGGGTCACTTTGTTGTCGCTACGTCAGAAATACCGCAAAATTTGGTAAAACTGTACTTCCAGGGCCCAAGAGGTGATACTTGATTCTCTTGAGTCTCTTTTAAAAAAAGCTGGCGCTTCGTCGGTCGCTGCCACGGCACGCTCGCTTCGCTCGCTCGGCTCGCTCTTTATGGTCACAACACTAACCTAACCTAACCTAGTGTGAGGTATCACCACTTGGGACCTGGAATTAGAGTTTAGCCCAAAATTTTAATATTTTTGTTTGAAGACTTACTTACCTCAAGAGCTCAATAAAATAATGTTTAGGTCATAAATGCAGAAATATTAGTACATATATTCAAGATTTGACTCTAGGTCGAGTAAAGAGCGCCCAAAATATTTAAGACGCCGCAGCCTTCTCTTTAGGGAGCCAAGTCACTACCCACACTCCCGACACGCTTTCGGGGGACCTTGGTCTTCAGGACACAAGGAACACAAGTTCAGGGAATAGTCCTCAGAAGGTCGCGCTTATGCCGCTGGCCGAGGGTTTCGGTCACGCAATTGTCAGACATGAAAAAAAGAAAGCTCAAGAAATGTAATTTTTAAATAAAACACGTTTTAACGGGTAAGATGAAGGTACTTATTTTATTTTTTTATTGACGTTTCGCAGCCTTTTCAGGTCAGCGTCGTCACACTAATGATTTGATGTACTTTGTCGAGCTACTTTCGAAAGACTTTTTATTGAGTATTCGGATATTTCATTGGAAGATTTTAAAATTTTATTGTCTATGCACGAATTTATTATCTAATTTAATTAATAAAGTACTTTATTTAAAATTACTTTTTTGTTATTTTACGATCCAAAGTCACAGAGGCTTTCTATCTTATAGAAAGCCTCTCTGAGTTTGTTTCGCCGGTTCTTCTCAGAAAGGTCTCCCAATTTTGGAACCGGTGGTAGTTTATGGTAGTTAGGGTCAAATAAATAAACTCAAAATGACAAAAAAGAATTTTAAATAAAGTACTTTTTAATTAAATTAGATAATAAATTCGTGCATACACAATAAAACTTTAAAATCTTCCAATGAAATATCCGAACGCTCAATAAAAAGTCTTTCGAAGGTAGCTCGACAAAGTAAATAAAATCATTAGTCTGACGACGCTGACCTGAAAAGGCTGCGAAACGTCAATGAACAAATAAAATAAGTACATCTTATTCGTTGAAACGTGTTTTATTTAATGAGTGATGTGCGTGAAAACCTAAGAAACAAATAATCTAATTTTTATTTCATCCAATGGAACACACACAGACACACATTATGTAAAAATTTCAACTGTCTAACTACTTATTACGGTTCATGGCACCCACTTGCTAACAGCCCGCTAATGGACGGACGTGTAATAGGGTTCCGTTTTGACCCTTTGGGTACGGAATAAGTATCAGAAAACCGCAGCAAATATTATACAGTACCTAAGAATCAAAATAAAACAAGTAGATCAAAATAATTATTTATTTATTTACATATGAGTCTGGATTAAGCCCCTTCAACTCCCAAAAGTGTAAATATACATGATTTAGAAATCTGCAGATGTAATGAACTAACCAAACATTATACTTATATAAGTTAGTTTGAACTGGTTTTCGCTAGGAAGAAGAGCACGCTCTCTCCGATGTAGATTAATTATTTCTTTGTAAATCTTGGTTAGGGTATGATGAGACTGGCATATTCAGTGAATGGAAGCCTCTAAATAAATAAATAATTAAAAAAAATACAAATAAATATGAACTGGTTATTACATTATCTCAGTACACGGAATCGAGTTAGTGGAGTACTTTCTTTATCACACTACTTCTAAGAATACCTTTCTAACTAGTGAAGATCAACGATCAGCTCTGAATATTTTTCTTAGTCATTGGTAAAGCCACCGAGTTTGGCGGTGCTAAGGTGCTTTTTCTTCTACGACAGGGTTTCAGACATAAAATGTTATTTCTTTCCTCCGACATCAGCTTGGAATTATTGGGACACCAATATAGTATAACCAATACAATCTTTAAAAATTACTTCTAATCTTAAATCTCTATTATAGTCTTACACAAATCTATTAAAAAGTTTATAGTCTTATTTGGTAGTAAGTATTTATTCAAGTTTTTTCTCAGCATTACTTATGATGCTGTATTGTGTCTTCAGTTTCTCTGTAAACTCGGGGTCATCCCATCCCCACAGGTTGTGCGTTCCGTCTCCTGTGCGATGTGCTCGTTGCTTTATAATATTCGGGGACACACTCTTCAGGTCGTAAGCTTGGCCAATCTGGGGAATAAATGTAATTTGCCTTTTTAAAGTTACATGCACTTACAAATCGCTCCACCCGTCCTCACTCTTCGTGATGTTTATTGCAATTAGACTCCCAAAGCGAAGAGAGGCGATGCAGCAGAGAAATGTTACAGCCTCCCTCAGTTATTGCTGCGCCTACCTCATAGAACAAACACACAATATTACAAAACAGCGTTATTTGGCTGCAGTGTTTTGGATGAATTCTTTTTAGAAGGAGACGTGTCATTAATAGCATTAAATCCTCACGTCCATCCTACTCCATGGACCTTACACACATCTTTCACTTAATATTATTTTAAATCAGACACTGACTGTTTTCACCACAACATAGATAAATGCTTAGTTTATTCCGCCACAAAAAAAACTTATGCTGACAGTCTAGACTCAGTATTCCCTGACTTTCCTTGTTTATTATCTGTTTCGTCATTTTTTGGTTAACAAAGGAGTGTCTCTCATTTTATGCCGTTTACAGAAAGAAAGCTGGCAGCTGACCCGCACTTATCAGCGCTTGTCGGCGCTGGTAACAGTTATATAAAGGAAGCAGATTGAAGTGTAGTTGTTCATTAATTTCAAACGGCGGTGCCAGCGCTGACCAGCGCTTGTCGGCGCTTGTCGGCACTTTTCGGCGCTGGTCCATAAAAATGCTTGCGCCGATTACCGGCAAGTACCAGCGCCGACAAGCGCTGATAAGCGCTGGTCTGCTTCCAGCTTTCTTTCTCTATACGGCCTTATTCTAATTTTTCTTTCGGTCTTTCAAACTATCTTTCTTACTTCACGGGCGTAGGTACAATTGAATTCCATGTATTTATCGTGAAATACAAAAATAAACTACAGCATTCAATTCAATTGAATTCAAATTCAATTCAAGGAGGAGCGACGGCATTAAAAAAACTATGAAAAGAGAAGGATGGACGACGATGAAGATTACGAAAAGAGAGGTAAAGCATAGCGGATTTCCCGCTAGAATTGGAGCGCCCGTTTGAGGAATTTACCTCCACCTTACAGGAAATCAGAACAGTAAAATAATACTACCTTTTGGTGGTGTTGTGTTTCTGTTGGGGAGAAGGTGTTAGGGCTCCACAGGGTAGGGTAGGAAATGGGTCCGGGTAGGAAACTGTGCGAGTGTTAGCTTTAGCGTCTAAATGATATACCGCCGCTTACCATCAGGCGGGCCTTAAACTTCTTTGCTTTAACATAAAAAATGATATATCGAAAGACGAGTAAGTACTCCCGTACCAGGTGCTAACTCGATTTATTTACCTTAGCCATTAAGTCAATGAAGACCACCGTGGGCGTAAGCATGTTGTAAAACGAGTGTTCGGTCGCGCGATAGTCCCAGGGAAAGGCGTGATGGTAGTTGTGGAAGCCCTCCAAGCAGAATAGCCATATGGCTACGTTATCTCGCGGGTTTAAGGACCTGTAACAAAAAATAGTTACTAGCTACAGATTTCTTTATTGCAGATTTTAATTAGCAGTTACCTACCTACATACTTTGTGCTATAGATGCATAGATCCATTTTAACCATTATGAATGAAGTATAAAAAAGAATGCTAATAGATAGTGTATTTATATTCCTTAGAAAATATTTGAATACTTGGGAATGTAAGTACTTCGAATACTCTTCGAAGATCTGACACACTTTTTTCGCTTTCTCCACCTACGTTCATCTATATTGCTGCAATCTTTATGTAAAACTATAGTAATTTCTAAAATCACTAATATATTCGCGTCATTATAGCGCTTATAGCAATATGTACTGTTATTGCTACTATGAAAACTTTTACGCCTGTAACCTGTACCTTTAGCACGAACCAATATCGAATTAGAATAGTTTGCGAATTTGAAATGTAATTGTCAAATGTGTTCAGATTTGATTTTATGTTCTCTGTCCGTCCTTTGTGGCGCTGCTGTTCAAGTTTCCATACAAAATTTGACAATGACCTTTCGGACTCGCAAACTATTCGAATTCGATATGAAGTCGTGCTAGGGTACTGTATTACCTACAAAACAAAAATAAAATAATTATTATTTTAAGATCTTTCCCCTAATATGTCAATCAACCAGGCCAGACTCTCACTATATAGGTATAGGTAGGTATGTAGTGTAATTTATCGATGTTCTTTTTACTCTAATCAACTAAAAAGGCATTAGCTCAATGCTAAATGTGTCTCGAGGGAGTCACATACCTAGGTATGCACATACATTCCAATAAGTCACAATGGTTGATATAGTTGACGTTGAAATCACCATTAGCACTAAGAAAGAAATAGTGGAGCAAGCTACAAAGCTATCATCGTGTAATTTCACATTATTTGTTTTGATTTTAGACTTATTATTCTGAAGTCTTTTATTTAAGTTTTATTTTCGTTTATTTAATTTTTACCCTACTAGAATTCGCGTCCAGATCTATATGTACAGCTTTTTACTATTGCTTTGCTAAAAATTATGTTCTATCCAACGAGCTCCAGACAATGATGTATCACATGCTGTAGTAAAAAAAGGAAAAACTATACCTATTTTTCATGTATGTACCCCCAATGAAAAATAATTCAATGATTAATTTTTAACTACATATTATTCAGCTCTGGGCGAACATACTACATAAAATTCCAAAATACGGACAGTCAGACGACAGAGTGACAGCAATAGTGTTCCGTTTTTACCCTTTTGATTACGGAACCCTAAAAATGGGATGTTATATATGAACGTGTGATAAAAACCTGGTTATAATGTAACATTTTTATATTATGTTCCTTGCATACACATAACCCGAAAAAGTAAAATAAATCTGCATTTGACTTTTATTAGGAAGGTATAAAATTACTGGACAAACTCCAAGGTTGCCAAGAGTGTGTGCTTTGCAAATGAAACAAACTGTTTCGCACACGACAGGTTTTTATTGGAAAGTTCGAAAATTAAATACACCGCCTTAAGACTAATATAAACGGCTGTTATGAAACACTAACGCGATTCACAAATAATGTAACGCCATCTATTAAATAAAATATAAATTAAGGAATTAATAACTACTTACGGTTTAAAGGTACTATTTGGTCATACATTCACCGCCCACCAAGGACTAATTGACATTATGTCCTTAAAATTTGATACCTTAACTATTCCAATTAATTACTATATGTATTGGTACAAATAGCTGTTTATCAAAAACCAAGAATACAAATTTGATATGAAAACAAAAATAATAATACAACTTCATCTTTTAAATATGGTAAATAATAGTCTTTCTTATACTTCATTCAAATTCTTAATACCTTAATACTAAATGTCAACAAACATAAACATAAAGAAATAACATAAATTATTGTAAGTTAAAAGCAAGTATGTGTATATGAATTACAATTTGTTTATTAATTCATTGCGTGATAGGTAGGATACAAAGTTTATTTACAGGTCGCTTTATAAAGTTACTTTTAGTTTGTAATTTGACCACCCTCGTGATTCCGTCCTTGCCTGGATATTCTTTTATAATTTTGCCATAGAGCCAACGACACGGGGGTAAGTCCTCTTCCTTAATCAAAACAATATCGCCTAATTTAGGTGCGGGCGTCGCAGTTGCCCAACGGTATCTGTGGAAATATTGGTTCAAATATTCTCGTGACCACTTGCGCCAGAATTCTTGAGCAAGGCGTTGAGTGTACTGCCATCTCCGAAGAGAGCTCACATTTGATGTTTCAAAATTCTGATCTGGTGCAGTAACTAAAGATTCCCCTATTAAAAAATGACCGGGGGTTAATATTTCAAGATCATCTAAATTTCCTTCAAGTCTAGACATGGGTCTTGAATTCAAACATGCCTCGACTTGTGCTAAGACCGTGGACATCTCCTCATACGTCAAAGTAGATATACCTATTGTGCGACTTAGGTGAAATTTCGCAGACTTGATGCCCGCCTCCCAAAGTCCACCAAAGTTGGGTGCGCGTGGTGGTATAAAATTCCATGAAGTGTTATTATTAGCTAAATTTTCCGCAATTTCTGGCAATATGCTATTTTTCTCAACCGAAAATAACTTTTGTATTTCTTTCGCGGCTCCAACGAAGTTTGTGCCGTTGTCACTCCAAATCTCTTTGCAACGACCTCTTCGAGCAACAAAGCGTTTGAAAGCTTGTAAGAACCCATGAGCTGTCAGATCACTAACAGCTTCTATATGGACCGCTTTGGTCGACATGCACACAAATAGGCAAATGTAGCCTTTGTATGATTTGTGGCCACGACCTTTCGAGGTACGCATCTGTATTGGTCCGGCGAAATCTACTCCGCTGTATAGGAATGTACGTGCTGGAGTGACTCTTACTGAAGGGAGCTGTCCCATAAGGGGTTGGCAAGTTTTTCCTCTTTGCTTTGTACATATAACACATTTTCTAACAAAGGCTTTGACTAATTGCTTTGCACCTATGATAAAATACATGTTTTGTATATAAGCTAATGTTAATTTTGGCCCTCCATGTAAAGTTTGTTGATGTGCATCGGAAATGATTAATTGAGTAAGTAATGACTTCTTTGCCATTATTATGGGATGTTTCCTACTTGTAACTAAATTTGATTGCTCTAATCTCCCCCCAACAATTAATAATTTCCTTTGATCGATTACTGGACACAAAGAATATAAGTGACTACTTCTTTTTAACTCTAATCCTTTATTTATTGTATCAATATCTTCTTGAAAATATATATTTTGATCTCTCCTGATGCAACATTCTAAGGCTTCTTTCAATTCATTTATTCTTAGAAAACCTTTTATTCTAATGGTGTTATGAGCTTTCATTTGTAAGAACCTTCTACAGTATGCTGTAATTCTGACTAATCTGTTTAATGTTGAATAATCTTCCCATATGTTTCTGTCTACTGTAGTGCTGTGAACTTTTATGGCTTCGATTTCAGTTTTTAATCCATTTACCTTATTATATATTATATCTTTCGATAAAAGAAAATCAGGTCCATTAAACCAAATACATTTATGTTTCAGCTCCATTGGCGATAAACCCCTTGACGCGCAATCAGCTGGGTTATCTGTGGTCTTCACGTGAGACCATTGTTGAGGATTCATATGAGTAAGAATTTCGGAAATCCGGTTTGCAACAAATACCTTCCATCGACTAGGTAAACTATTCAGCCATGCCAGTACTATGGTTGAGTCGGTCCATGCGTGCAAATTCGTATTTTCCACTTTCAAGATCCTAGCTATCTCTACCATCAACCTTATAAGTTCGACAGCTCCACAAAGTTCCAGTCTAGGGATGGACACTTGCTTGATTGGAGTGACCTTGGATTTGGCTGCAACCAGAGATACGTGAATGTTACCTTCAGAATCGATACACCTTAGGTACACCACCGCAGCGTATGCTATCTTCGACGCGTCACAAAATCCATGCAGCTCCCGTAAAGTATCCGTGGACCTTGTGCTCATCCATCTTGGTATCTTGATATCTACTATGTTTTTCAGATTTTCACGATAATTATGCCATTCACTTATTATTTCTTTAGGTGCTTCTTGATCCCAAGTAACTCCAGATATCCACAATTTCTGTACCATAGCTTTAGCTACTATAATACACGGGGTTACCCAACCTAAGGGATCAAAAAGTCGTGAAATATCGGCTATAATTTTTCTTTTAGTTATTGGGGACTGCAGATCCGAGAGTTCTACTTTGTATCGAAAATGATCTGCGTGTCTTTCCCAGGTAAGCCCAAGAATTTTTACTACTTCGTCACTTTTTATGTTCATACTTTCCATGCTTTCCATTTCATATATATTTTCCTTTTTCTTTATAGCGTTTATTAATTCTTTATTATTAGAAGCCCATTTTTGTAGTTCAAATTTTGCTTCATTTAACAAATCTTTCATTTGACTATATAATTCTATACCTTCTGATACAGATTCACATCCTCCCATATAATCATCAACATAATAATTTTCTTTTACGTTTGCAGCAGCAAGTGGATATTTCCAACCTTCATCTTCGGCCACTTGTTGGAGTGCTTTTATTGCCAAGAATGGGGCAGAAGCGGTACCGAAAGTCACTCGAAGAAGCTTGTAGTCTTTTATTTTACTAGTTTTCTTATCTCTCCATAACAATCTTTGATAGTTTGTATCATCTTCGTGAACCTTAACTTGCCGGTACATCTTCACTATGTCTGCCGTCAAACAAATGGGGAACAGTCTCCATTGTAACACTAATTGCCTTAAATCAGGCTGTATAGTAGGACCGACAATCAGAGTATCATTAAGAGATACACCATTTGAGTCCTTTTGAGAAGCATTAAACACCACTCTTACCTTAGTCGTATCCCTATCCTCGCGAATGACAGCATGGTGTGGTAAGTAAACGGACATATCTTTTTTATTATCAGGCTTTTCAACTTCTACCATGTGTCCCATCTGTATGTATTCATCTATCACTGCTTCATACTTCTTCTTGAATTCACTGTCTTTTTCAAATCTTCTATCTAAGCTTTTCAATCTTTTTTCAGCTATTACACGAGTTTCCGCTTTATTCAACTCTGGTTTGTGCGCTTTGAACGGCAATCTTACTACATACCTACCCTGTTCATCTCTGGTAGTGGTATTTGTAAAAAACTCCTCACATTTCCTTTCTTCTTCCGTGTATTTCTTCTCTTTCGACAATGCTACTCCTTCTTCAATTTCCCAAAATTTTCTTAGCAATTCATCACCTTGTTGTAGTTCACAATGCAATGCTAATATTCCTCCAGCTTGATCAACTGGCATGTTTACAGTACCTGATAAAATCCAACCCAGGCTGGTAGCTTGAGCGATAAGCGTACCACTAGATGCCTTTCGGATTCCTTCCTGAATTACTTGACTATATACCTCCGCCCCTAATAAAATGTCAATTTTATTAGGTCGGTAGTAATCAGGATCCGCTAACTGTATTCCCTCAAATTCTGTACAATCCAACTGCTGTACTTTCCTGCTTGGAAGACAAGAAGTGATGGAATTCAGAACGTAAGCATGTACTGTTAAACTAGTGTTTTCATTGATCCTCGATGTGAGCTTCAATGTAACCATCGATTTGGAGACTAGACTTTTGTTTCCCCCTACGCCTGAAATTTTACCTCTTATAGGCGTCCGCTTTAAATTCAAGTCATTCACGGTTGACTCTGTTACAAAATTCCCCTGAGAACCTTGATCCAATAAGGCTCTCAATGCATGACTAGTGCCGTCTCGCGACTTGGCATGCACAAGTGCAGTTGCTAGTAGCACTGGTTTCAAATTCCTAATTGCGACACTACATGCCACGAATTCGGATAAACCTTCAGCGGCACTTGCTTCCTTGCAAGGCTCTGAACCCTTTGTGGAACTTTCCCCGTTATCTGAACCAATCTTGACAACATTAACCTGAGCACTTTCATTGCCATTAGGATGGAGTAGTGTATGATGACGACGATGGCAAAGTTTACATTTCATAACGATATTACAGGTTTTAGCCCCGTGGTTTGTACCTAAACAGTTATAACATAAATTGTTCGCATGGACAAAATTACGACGTTGGTCAATTGTTTGACTAGCAAACTTTTTACATGCGCTCATTTTGTGAGTGTCAGAAGAACAATACGAACAAACCATTTTGGTCGCAGAAAGCGTTTTAAATTTTACGACACTATTATTATTTGCATTAAAATTGTTATTATTGTTATACTGAGATCTATTTGAAGTCACTTTAGTATCCAAAAATTCAAGAGCTCGATAACGATTAGTAAGAAACTCTTGGAATTGCTTAAATGTGGGAAGTTCCTCAGATGACGTACTATTAGTTATGTTAAACTCCCATTGTTTTCGCGATTCTGCGTCTAGCTTTAAGCAAAGAATGTGTATAATAATTATATCCCAATTCGTAGTTTCAATACCTAAATTGCTCAAACCACACAAACAATCATTAGTTGTATCAATCAATTCCTTTAAACCAATTGAGTTCTCTACCACTAGATTTTTTTGACTAAGCAAACGTTTTAAAATAAAATGCGATAAATACCTTTTATTATCGTATCTAGCCTTTAACTGATTCCAGCATCTTTCGTAATTAGCTTCGGAAATAGGTATTTGTCGAAGTAATTGTTCGGCTTCACCTGCTAAAGAGCTTTTTAAGTAATGCATCTTTTGCACTTTATCCAAATTAACATTATCATGGATCAGCGAAGTAAACAAATCCCGAAAAGTAATCCATTCAGTATATTTACCGGAAAAGGTTGGAATAACAATTTTTGGAAGTTTAAACGGTTCATGTCTTTTAGAAACTTCTCCTTTTGCACTTTTAGCTTCACTAGAAGAACCACTACTCTGTTGAAAATACTTTAATTTAGATTTAAGCTCCGTTTTATATGCTGTATACTCTTCCTCAGCTAATCCATAAATATCTTTAGATGTATATTCATGTGTTTTTATTTCTACATTATAATCTTTTACAAGCGTTTTATGCGTACCAGAAAATTCAGACCATAGTTTTTCTAATGATTCTAACCTTGTTTCACAATATGCCTCTGTAATTCGTTGTTTTGGAGACTTTAAAAAATTAGTACCAGCCTTTACAATTTTTTCATATGTATCATTTTGCAAATTTACAAAGTTCTCCATTTTTATAAATATTAAATAATAAGAAAACAACAATAGTATTCAATTGAATAATAATAGAACTAAAATTTTCAATGTAATTTTTTACATGAAATTTTTCTAAGTGTTTGAAACAATTGAACTCTGACAGAAAACCGGCATAGGTTCCCCGTTGGATCTGTTTTTTCTTAAAATTAGGCTAAGTCACTACAATATTATCACGAAATTTTCTAAGTCCAACTACACTAGCTCGAAATCACCAAATTGTTCAAAGTTAATCTTTTATTGAAATAAAGCACAAATTTCCTTGACTGGGTTAGAATGAAATGCAAACACTCACTGTATTGTAGCTGTCTCTTTCACTCCTCATATACTTCTCGTTATCCTTGTTCCTCCCAAAGTCCAGGATCCTGAAGGTACCTTCTCGAAGTTCTGAAGCCGGATTTGCCACCAAGCTTGAACTCCTGCTGCAGCAGCTCACACTTTAGAGCTGCTCCAATTCCTGGTTGGGAACTCCACCTGTTTTTGATTGTGCTCCAAAAATTGCGCCACCGTCGGGACGACTTCCGGTCTAGGACTGAGCAGCACCTAATTCGGCTCTTGAAGGACCATGGACAAACTCCAAGGTTGCCAAGAGTGTGTGCTTTGCAAATGAAACAAACTGTTTCGCACACGACAGGTTTTTATTGGAAAGTTCGAAAATTAAATACACCGCCTTAAGACTAATATAAACGGCTGTTATGAAACACTAACGCGATTCACAAATAATGTAACGCCATCTATTAAATAAAATATAAATTAAGGAATTAATAACTACTTACGGTTTAAAGGTACTATTTGGTCATACAATTACCATTGCAAATTATCCATGACGAACAAAATTTGTTATAAAAGTGAGTAATCGGATTAACATACTAATTAATTATTTCAAATTATTCTGCGGTTTTAATTCTTCTTGAGTTATGCAAATGATTTTTGATTACGTATGATTTAAAAGGCTCAATAATTATGTAGTTAAACATACGTATCTAGTAAAATAATCTATGGCATAGTTATTTTTAAAGTAGGTGCTTGGTTTTCTTATTTGATGAACTCTCTCTTGCTCTAAACTAAACCAAGTAAAGCGCTTCTCTCACCAGGTCTGTGTGGTATCGTTTCGTTTTCGTTTCTGTACAGATTCTTTACTAAGTGCATACACACCTCTCTGTACCGAATCTTACCGAACCATTCGAATCGCCCACACGACGACGTGACGGAATTATAATAAAAATTGTTAATACCGTAACAAACAAATCGAAACGATACCGCACCGAAACCGAGCAGGTCAAGAAATGGTTCTAGGTAAATAATCTGTACAGATTCGGTACAGAAACGAAAACGAAATCGGGTCAGCCCGCACTGACCCGATGAGGAACGCGCCTAAAAAGAAATAAGTTCCATTTGGGGCGATAGCACTTCAATCAATAATACATTCATTATGTCATGTTTGCTTCCGGGAGAGATAAGCAAAGCTAATTGAACTAGGTCTAGGCCTAAGTCGGTGTCACAGAACCCTGTTTATCGGTGGTCACAACTCTTCCTTTATTTAAACCATGCATTTTGAGTTACCTGAGAAACTGTACTAGCCCATTCGATTAGACAAGGATTTCACAGGCAACGAACAGCTCGTCACGGTACCCGCCAATACAATTTCATTTTCGCGGATGATGACGATAATGGATTATTTTTGTTAATAATTCTACCTAGTTAAAATAGAACGCAGACAAGAGCACAGAAGAGAGCTAATCGAGCGTGCACTGTCACCCGCGAGGCGGGCTCTTCCACCCGTGCCGGGTGAGGCGGATCTATGAATCAAACACGCCGAACGGACTCTGTTCTGTGCTCCGCTTAACAGTGCGCACGCCCCTAAACGAATAATAATTCCATAATAGATATGTATGTTATTTGCAAATTTTTAGGATATTTTGTAAACGATATAAATCAATATTTTTGTATGAGGTGTATGTAGTACGTTTACTGTTTATAATCGTTAGCACTATTTTTATTTACACGATTTTTAAGTTTCTCAGGTAACTCAAAATTCACGGTGCTTAAAGAAGAGGTAAATAGATATAATAGATATATAATTAGGCTTAATGCTATTTGCCTTAATTAATATTCGCCTGGAATAGATATATAATATAAGCTTACTTATCATACGGTCGGAATCCATAGTGATGCGCGAAGCTGTTGATGGACCACACTACATTGATGCCGAAGGTGTAGCGTAAGATGGTGGGTATACAGAACGCGTTCATCCAAGTTTCACCCCAGAAGTACACCGGAATGACGGTGGGCAGCACGAAGCATAAAATTGGCATCATCTTCATATAATGCCTGAAGAAAAAGAAGTACCTACATTAGGCACATTAGAAACGGTTTCTAATGAGATGTAAGTAAATTCCTGAAATGCTAATGTTTTGTCTCTGTGAGAATCCATAACAGAATATCGGTTTTATAATAAATATTGCGAGCTACTCAGAAACGTTTATTTAATACTTCATTAAGTCATATGTTGTCCATTCCATAATTATTAAAAAAACAAACAAAATCGGGCTACTCTGTAAAAAGTAATGCGTAGTTTTACATGAAAAAAAAATATATGCGTTGAATCTAAAGAAAATATAACTAGAAAAAATTCCACGCGGACCAGGCAGCAGACGGGACTCGAACCCGCACCCTTCGCAATCCGGGCGAATGCACTGACCAATTATGCTACCGCGGCCCTCACGGACCGCGTCGAAATTCCTTCTAGCTATTCTTAAGCTGCAAGGCAGCGCCATCTCTTCGCATTATAGGTAAACCCACAATGTCAAATGAATACTTTTACAAGTATTAAACATTTGAAAGAAGAAATAGCAATTATAGTTATAATTTTTTATTATTTTTAAAGCATGTAACTGCTTGATGTTTAAATCTAAAGAAAATATAACTAGAAAAAATTCCACGCGGACCAGGCAGCAGACGGGACTCGAACCCGCACCCTTCGCAATCCGGGCGAATGCACTGACCAATTATGCTACCGCGGCCCTCACGGACCGCGTCGAAATTCCTTCTAGCTATTCTTAAGCTGCAAGGCAGCGCCATCTCTTCGCATTATAGGTAAACCCACAATGTCAAATGAATACTTTTACAAGTATTAAACATTTGAAAGAAGAAATAGCAATTATAGTTATAATTTTTTATTATTTTTAAAGCATGTAACTGCTTGATGTTTAAATCTAAAGAAAATATAACTAGAAAAAATTCCACGCGGACCAGGCAGCAGACGGGACTCGAACCCGCACCCTTTGCAATCCGGGCGAATGCACTGACCAATTATGCTACCGCGGCCCTCAGGCCCTCACGGACCGCGTCGAAATTCCTTCTAGCTATTCTTAAGCTGCAAGGCAGCGCCATCTCTTCGCATTATAGGTAAACCCACAATGTCAAATGAATACTTTTACAAGTATTAAACATTTGAAAGAAGAAATAGCAATTATAGTTATAATTTTTTATTATTTTTAAAGCATGTAACTGCTTGATGTTTAAATCTAAAGAAAATATAACTAGAAAAAATTCCACGCGGACCAGGCAGCAGACGGGACTCGAACCCGCACCCTTCGCAATCCGGGCGAATGCACTGACCAATTATGCTACCGCGGCCCTCACGGACCGCGTCGAAATTCCTTCTAGCTATTCTTAAGCTGCAAGGCAGCGCCATCTCTTCGCATTATAGGTAAACCCACAATGTCAAATGAATACTTTTACAAGTATTAAACATTTGAAAGAAGAAATAGCAATTATAGTTATAATTTTTTATTATTTTTAAAGCATGTAACTGCTTGATGTTTAAATCTAAAGAAAATATAACTAGAAAAAATTCCACGCGGACCAGGCAGCAGACGGGACTCGAACCCGCACCCTTCGCAATCCGGGCGAATGCACTGACCAATTATGCTACCGCGGCCCTCACGGACCGCGTCGAAAATTATAACTATAATTGCTATTTCTTCTTTCAAATGTTTAATACTTGTAAAAGTATTCATTTGACATTGTGGGTTTACCTATAATGCGAAGAGATGGCGCTGCCTTGCAGCTTAAGAATAGCTAGAAGGAATTTCGACGCGGTCCGTGAGGGCCGCGGTAGCATAATTGGTCAGTGCATTCGCCCGGATTGCGAAGGGTGCGGGTTCGAGTCCCGTCTGCTGCCTGGTCCGCGTGGAATTTTTTCTAGTTATATTTTCTTTAGATTTAAACATCAAGCAGTTACATGCTTTAAAAATAATAAAAAATTATAACTATAATTGCTATTTCTTCTTTCAAATGTTTAATACTTGTAAAAGTATTCATTTGACATTGTGGGTTTACCTATAATGCGAAGAGATGGCGCTGCCTTGCAGCTTAAGAATAGCTAGAAGGAATTTCGACGCGGTCCGTGAGGGCCGCGGTAGCATAATTGGTCAGTGCATTCGCCCGGATTGCGAAGGGTGCGGGTTCGAGTCCCGTCTGCTGCCTGGTCCGCGTGGAATTTTTTCTAGTTATATTTTCTTTAGATTTAAACATCAAGCAGTTACATGCTTTAAAAATAATAAAAAATTATAACTATAATTGCTATTTCTTCTTTCAAATGTTTAATACTTGTAAAAGTATTCATTTGACATTGTGGGTTTACCTATAATGCGAAGAGATGGCGCTGCCTTGCAGCTTAAGAATAGCTAGAAGGAATTTCGACGCGGCCCGTGAGGGCCGCGGTAGCATAATTGGTCAGTGCATTCGCCCGGATTGCGAAGGGTGCGGGTTCGAGTCCCGTCTGCTGCCTGGTCCGCGTGGAATTTTTTCTAGTTATATTTTCTTTAGATTTAAACATCAAGCAGTTACATGCTTTAAAAATAATAAAAAATTATAACTATAATTGCTATTTCTTCTTTCAAATGTTTAATACTTGTAAAAGTATTCATTTGACATTGTGGGTTTACCTATAATGCGAAGAGATGGCGCTGCCTTGCAGCTTAAGAATAGCTAGAAGGAATTTCGACGCGGTCCGTGAGGGCCGCGGTAGCATAATTGGTCAGTGCATTCGCCCGGATTGCGAAGGGTGCGGGTTCGAGTCCCGTCTGCTGCCTGGTCCGCGTGGAATTTTTTCTAGTTATATTTTCTTTAGATTTAAACATCAAGCAGTTACATGCTTTAAAAATAATAAAAAAAAAATAAAAAAATTATAACTATATGCGTTGACTTGAGAACCTTCTCCGTTTTTTGTCGTTGGTTAAAGAAAGTTAACATTATTCGAACTTAAAAGTGAATTGACTTCTCTGACTGCGGCCGTTAGACTTACTTTTTTTGGAACATGACGACAGGGTCTTCGTACAGATCCGTGACGTCTACCCTCTTTCCACCCTCGCTGACTTTGGGACTCTACTTTCAGGACAGCCAATCGCAATGCTAGAAGAAGAGACCACTGACAGTTTTGTGATAGTCTAAAAGTGGAGCCTAAAAATTAGACATACGTTTTCTGGAACATGACGACAGGGTTTTCGTACAGAACCGTGACGACTCTTCCCACCTTTAATGACTTCGGGGCTCTTTTTGTTGCACAGTCAGACACAACCCGAGAACAACAGACCCCTGACAGAGTTGTAAAGGCCTAAAAGTAGAGTCTTAAAGTTAGACCTACTTCTTCTGGAACATGACAACAGGGTCTTCATAGAGGTCCGTGACGTCTATCCTCTTCCCACCTTCGATGACTTCGGGGCTCTTCTTGCAGCACAACCAGCCGCAGTGAGAGAAAAACAACCCTCTGACAGAGTTGTGAGGGTCGGCGTCTGTGTCTGCGTACTTGTGATGGGTGCGGTGATCGCGCGCCCATTCAAAGATGCAATCCTGTGTAATAAATAAAATATATAACTTTATAATTAAAATTCTATAAGTGATTTCAAAAGTTAGTGAAATCTAGGTAACTTCAGTTTACTACGATTTCATTTTAATATCTGCGCGACCACATTACAGACAGGACCACAGAATATTATATTCAAGAAGTATGGCTAATTGTAGCCCCGTGGATACAACTTACGCGTTACCGGTTCTGTAGGAAATGGTTTTCCCCTTTGAAGATCACCATAATTTCAAGGTGCAAGAGAAAACCGTTGTAGGAGTTCATTGCTGGTCTTGCTAGATCGCAAAAGAAAAGAAAATATGTAATCGTAATATTTGAACACCAAGTGTCCAAGTCCAAGGCATGCTGTGTGGCCGTGGGACTTGGCTGCTGGTTCAGCACACTATCCGCAATTCAAACGCATACATCGCATCACGCGTGCGAAGCTTAACGGGTTGCGACAGCAAGATCGAGATCTAAGGCCAAGAGAAAGATCCTGTGTGTTCGAGCCCGAAAAAATAGCCAGTATTACAGCTTGTAGTACTTTCTGACTATTAAGTATTAGGAAGTTTAGTTTATCATCGAAATAATCGCAAAATCAAACCTCATTCCAAAGGAGATTGCTCAGCTTCCATCACGGGCTTCCATACATGTTTGGCCTAAAGACCAATCATCTTTCATCAAAGACCAAATCATGAAAAATTGTTTCCTAGATTCGAAATTATATATAATTTACTGTAGAAACGAATATTATTGACGGACACCCCTGAGAACTTCTATAAACCATATACACTGAACGATTTTGAGGTTATGTTTGCAAATAGGTACATAGGTATTAAAATAATAAAAAACAAATAAGTTATATAGTAAACTAGGGAAATCAAGCCAAGCACCGAAATTATGTATTAGATTCAGGTATATAGAGCATGTAGATTAACATATAGTTGCCTATTTTTAAAGTTAATGCACAAGAGTAACTTTTAGTATCATCTATGCATTTCCGGTTATAATAAGGTACTGTGACAGAAACTGTGCGATTGGCTGAAATTTGTAATAATAATTCGAAAATGGAACACATAAATTTTCAAGCCTGTGATCTTTTGTTTTTTGTGAGTTTCATTTTCGTTTATTTGCATTTTTTTGTTAATTTACTTACCATGGCGCATCAAAATAAAAAAGAATTAATGTCAGCTTACTTTATGAACAACAAAGACATATCATTAGCTTAGTGGTGGTACCGCAAAAGATATCCTGATAGAGACAAATCTTCTCGATATGTGTTTAAATAATGGAAGAAAGATAGAGATAGGGAAAGATTTTTGATAAGCCATGGTAAGTAAATTAACAAAAAATTGCAAATAAATGAAAATGAAACTCACAAAAAACAAATGAACAGACACTTGAAAATGTATGTGTTCCATTTTGGAATTATTATCCCAGCGGGCAGTGGACAGAGCGTCAACGTGGAGTTATTTCTGTTCAGCAATTAAAAAAATGAAGGAAACGCATGGCCATCTTTTTTGCAATAAAAATATTTGGCAACCGCGCGCTTTACAAATTTCAGTGGACACGGGAGGCGTATCAGTAGAATCATCAATCTGCACAAGTGGCAAGCTGCTGGGCGCGAAAAGTGCAGAATCGCGGACATCACACAAGATGCCTATGTTAAGAAGTGGACGTGTCGTGCGGCTCAAAATTAGCAGATTTCTCTCACCTGAAACGCCGCAGTTTGCCAGATCATGAGTAGAATCCGAAGAGGCGTGCGGGCTTTGTAGCCTCTGTGCGTCCAGAGGCGATGAGATCCAGCACCGACGCCGATGGCACATGCCAAGTGCATCGCGCATGCTGTCGAAAAATGATTAACTTCATAGGATTTATTCTTTTGTTATTATATGAACATGAAATGGACAGTAGTACGGCAAAATTATCACGAACTTAAAACATTTGACCCAAACTCCAGATTTCAGAAGGCGAAATTTTCTTTTACTGGTTGTAAATATAACTTTCAACGATGCCACATTTGGCATTTGTTAATCTCATTTAAACGTTATTTAACTTGTCAGAACGACGATTTCCAATATTGCCCTCTTCGACGAAGAAAGGAGAATGCCCATTTAGTATGAACAAAAGCTCTGATCGTAATATTTTTGTGTCCTGGTAAAAATGCTCATACTTGATTATACATACTATCATAAGAATGACACGTATCCACTTAAGTTCAGTTTACTTTTGGGTGTTACTTGGCGAATTGCAGATATATTCAAATTATATTGTATGATAGAACTCAATGACGTATAATATATAGAGGTTCATAGATGAATGATTGGTCTCGCTTCACTATCATTTATCTATGGACAGGTTATACGCCAACATTATTGCATTTTTAAGTGGCAGAAGTAGTGGAAGTTGGGGCTAAGGCCCTAACTTCCCTTGGCAACAGCCGCCAATAGAGCGCACTAAAGAAGTTTCTTTCACTCTTATGCATAAAGCAGATTACATCTCGCTCTATAGCCTCCACGTGTCCACGATGTCAGCAACTGTTAAAATAAGTAATCACTAAATATTTTTACATTCATTTCTTTGAAACTGTACTTACGAATGAAATGACACCTTATTTTTGTCTCTAATAGTTTTCATGTAATTTTATTTGTGTACTATCCTAAAAACAGGCTATTTGTCTGAAAAAACGTAAAATATTACACGTTGTAACCAAGTGTAGCCGCGGCGAGAGAGCAACCAGACTTTCGTATTGACAAATTAGACGCGTGTATGACGCATAGATGATAACTACTATATTCTAATGAAAATTAAGAAATTACAAAACTAAAGACGAAGCTCTATCGACTATATTTCTCTTGCCTTCCTGCTTCTCATTAGAATAACCAAAAAAGCGATTGAGTTAAGGATGCATTTAAATAAAATACATCACCTACAATTATTGCTCCTAGGTTAAATCTATCATTGCGAAATCAATCTTCAATTAATGAAGATAGTATGCATTTTAAAACGTACTCAATATTCATTATTACAGTTTCGGGCGAAGAATCAATAAAAGATAGGCAGTGATTTTGAAATAATGGTGGAATAAAATTTGAACTGGCACTGGCCATTTGCCCTTTATGCTTTTCTCTGGATCCTCGTTGTTAGTATTAGGTATCATTAGAACGTAATCTTTAATTGAACCTCATAATTTTGAAATAAAACCGAATCTCTTTGTTTTACCTATCAAAAACTACAACTTACCAAAAAGGTTTGTCTGCCATTTGGCGGACGTGAACGCAAGGTACAGTCCATACAGCGATACGGTGTGTAGAAACAGGAACCACACTATGTTGAAATACACGTACTCGTATTTTTTCTGGGCGGCCTGTTTCAACTTGGAGACGTCGGAGGCGAGCCCCAAATCCGGCGTCTGAGTTTCTGTCTCGAACACGACCCCGCTGGGGATCGGGTCTACTTGTGGTGGCATTACTGGAATTTAACATAATTTTATTCATTGTTAGAAATCAGAAAAAAATCGAAAATTTTGTATACAATTTATCTAGACCCTAGGCTTTGCCTGCGTTTAAAAAAAAGGGGGAGACAATTTCAATTACCAATTGCTAAAGTCAGAAACATATAAAAGTATCGTGGCGTCAGTTTCCTACATTTATTATGGGTTAGAGTGACAGAGAGAGGTAAGAGCGTCGACACGACACGACACGTAAATATGTCTCTAACCATAAAGTAAATATATGAAACCGATAAGATACATACATAAATAAAATAATATACATATAAATGTATGAAAGCGAATAGGGAATTCGCGTTTAGATTTTACCAAATATAAAATATTTCATTATGGTAAACTTAACATTATGTTAATTACATAAAAAAATTGAATTCAGCCATCTGTAACAAGTATACTTTCAGGCGTATTGAATAATAAAAACATAAAAGAAATAACTAGAATAAAAATAGATCACATCACTCACCGACTGAGTCGTAACAGGCATTAAGACGCATTTTATTTTCAGTTGTATTTTATACGGACCTGCGGGGTCGTAGGTTAATAAATTCAGAGAATAAATTATCTCTTTAACGATTATTCCCTTATTGCTAACATTAATTAAATTGCTAATGATCGACAAATTCATCGACGAATATGTCAAGTATAGGTAAGTAAGGTAAAATAATGTATTGTATCTGGTATAACATTCAATTTCATAATGTATCCTGATTGTCTATTGTATTCGGCTCATTTATGTTTCGTTTACAAACGTTTGTTACATATGAACCTAGGTTATCGTTCAGTTAATAAGCCCAGTGCGTCTTGCCGGTGATAACGTACGGAGTCGAAACGTGGCCGCTAAAGCCGTATACGCAAAGAAAGCTGGAAGGGACATAAAGGAAGCAGAATGAAGCCTAGTTGTTCATTAATTTCAAAGGGCGGTGCCAGCGCTGACCAGCGCGTGTCGGCGCTTGTCGGCGCTTATCGGCGCTTATCGGTGCTTATCGGCACTGGTCCATAGAAGTGCTTGCGCCGGTTACCGGTAACCCGACCGGTAGCCGACTAGCGCCGACAAGCGCTGATAAGCGCTGGTCGGATTCCAGCTTTCTTTCTGTATACGGCCTAAAGTTACAGACATAGCTCAACGGGTAAGCAAGCTGAAGAAGCTGGTCATTTATGGGCAGACGAGTCCTGGAGTGGAGACCGCCAATCGGCAAACGTAGTGTGGGCCGTCCTGAGACTAGATGGAGTGACGACATCCGAAAAGCAGCAGGTAATGATTGAATGAGGAGAAATCAATGGCGTGCTATGGGGAGGCCTATGTCCAGCAGTGGACTAATGCGACCTGATGATGATGAATAAGTAATCAAGCTATTAGAGGAACATTGTGTAAAATGATTTAACTTCAAAATAAAAATATTAAATAAGACTTGTCAAATTGAATAAATCTTGATTATGATTCCAATATTAAATAATTCGTCATTGAATTTACTTGATATTAAGTTATGATATATATAAGTATCGAAGTTCATGAATAAAGATATTGTTATAAAGCCGAATTTGATATTGAATTAAAAGTCAAAGTCAACAAATCTTTATTCAAATTGGATGAATAATAAAACTCTTTTGAATCGTCCATATTTTTTTTACCACCAGTTAAGGACATTTTCTTAACTGTGGAGAAAAACTGGCGAAATACACTTCACAGCGTTAAATAATTACGTAACCCTATTACCAAAATATTATATTGTTACGGTGTCAATACAAAATCATATCATCTTCATCATAATTATAGAAAAAACCTGCCGGAACAACTGGAACAGTTTAAACCCAAGCCAAGCATTTTTGGCTGAAATATAATCGGACACCTTATAGTAGGCTTTATTAATAAAAAGTCTTATAATAGTAGCTTTAAATTTATTGATGCTTAATTTCTGGATATTACTAGGGACTATATTGTAGAATAGAAGCGAAAACAAAGACCTTTAAATGAATTATTGTTGTTGTGGAGCCTTGTAATTGGTACAGTTAATTTATTTTTATTTCTAGTATTAAGCGTGTGCTTATCACTATTTATAGGAAATAATGTAATATTTTTCAAACATACATTAAATTTTCATAAATGTACTGAGAAACAACAGTCATTATATCGATTTCTTTAAATTTTTCTCTTAAAGAACGGGGAACTGCTGCCGACATTCAAACTGTTTTTGTGCTGCAAAAGTGGGCTGTTCGTACAATTTACAATCTTAAGACTAGACTGTCTCTAGTCTTAAGATTGTAAACTGTACATAATACCTGGCAAAGAAAGCTCATGTAGTAAAATAATGTGTTGCTTCAGCCATACAGAACTGGCTGGAATGGATTTAGTCTTCCCTTACTCTACAGTGTTTCGCAATCCTTACACACCAAAAGAAATACAATTTCACCAAAAGGTAAAGTTTTTCATCGGGGTCTTTTATAAGATGGAGATTCTCCACCCAATATTTTTTTCTAATAACACTTACTTTGAATTATCACCAGCAACCTTTTAATGTTCCCACTGTTGGGGCACATGATTTTTCCATAGATGGAAGAGGGAGATTGGGCCATCATTCCCTACGCGGGCCTAATAAGTAACCCCCAAATAGTGGGTGCTATTACACCTGCAGATGTAGTCGAGAGTGACGGCTTAACGTGGCTTCCGAAGCACTGACGAGCTCGAGATAGTAAAATTTTGGTTACCCATCCGTGGACCACCCATTGCTAGCTAACCAGTTGTGCTATCGAACTCCCCCTCTTCCTTTTATAATTGTAAGTACTTACTCACTTCGTCTTTGTGACGCATAATTTTCAGATGAATGATTTTGCACAATGACCATGGCCACCATTAAAAATTATATGAAACGAAGCAGATAATACGTAAAAGCATTCAGTTCTGATGCTGAAAAAGCTGACGCAGAGGTCAGTGAACTTTAGTACAGTTCTGGCCACATTGATGCCTAGATGAGATCGGCAGCAGCGTCTCGGCGCCCTAATTAATAATAATAATAATAATAAATATGCCCAACACTCACACCAATTAGCCTAGCCCCAAAGTAAGCACTGTAAGGCTTGTGTTATGGGATGCTAGGGTAACGGATAGAATACATATACTGTACATATATAAGTACATTTATATAGAAATACATATTAAACGTCCATGACTGGAGTACAAATGCTCGTATTCATCACACAAACATCTGCCCCCACCGGGATTCGAACCTGGGACCTCTCGAGTTGGCGACACCATGAAACCCGGCGTACAAACCACTCGACCACGGAGGTCGTCAATTACGTGGAATTAAGTTTGATATTCGAATTGCATTGTACGAAGAACATATCCACACTCTCGTTATCATGGCTTTACCTACATCTAATTTGTAGTAATTACTTTGATCAATTTATGTAAGACATATTAATTACGTAAATTGCCTGTTTGAAGTTCGCCAACCTGATATTAGAGATACGGAAATATTGAAGTAACACTGAAGAGGCTTATTGGAAGGGCAGGCTGGAAGGGGGCTGCTTGAGTAAGGTAACCCTGGCAACTGACGGTTTGAAGTGATTCCGTGGGAGACGGTAAATCACATCATGATTAGTTAACGTGGATCAGTCAAAAATGATGATATTGATTTGTTAATGATAGTGTGTATTCAAGAAAGCGAAAGTTGTAGATTCGAATTTAAAATGGTATGGTAGCAGGAACGAGATGATATAAAATAATATTGGTTAATTATACCCAAATTTTAATATCGTTGTTTATACCACTAATAGGAATTGGAAAGTAGTTATGTTATCTTTTAATTACCAAATATCATTTTTTTAGTTCATTTTAAAGTTCAACATTATCCATGTCAAAGTAAAATGGTTCATAGTTACAAGAATTCTTTTATTTTAGTGGAGTAGAGGCTATCCCTTATAAACCTCCACTATCAACAAAGCGCTTGTATAATAATTATGATTGTTGTAAACTTTGCATAATTTATTTTCTGTTGATTGGATTTGTTCGGGTGGAAATTACGAACTCAATGGTTCCGGCGAACGCAATCTGCGCTACTCCGAAAGTTGTGCTCTGCGGTACTCGTTTCGCAGAGTGTTCAAATAATTTATAGAACTCGTTCGATTCATATATGTTTGGTGAGTAAGTACACATATAAATCGAACGGCGTTAAATAAATTATTTGGAAGTGGTTTAAAATTTAAAACGAAATGATTCATAACATACACACATTAAAGATCATGCCATGAAAAAATGATAATGATCTGTAAATAGATTCTCGAAGGGAAATAATAAAAGGAGTGACTTAAAAAAACTTAGCGACTAATGATGAGATACTGTTAAATTACTTAAGCGGTATGAATTTGAGTAAGCGAGAAAATAACTAAACTGAAGACGAATATTGAAGTAAAACCGTAAGCCAAATTCAGTATTTATATCAGTTAATATTTCAATTTACATTCACTCGTTAATAATAAATAATACCCATTTTCAATTAAAGATATTGTCACCTTTCTTTCAAGTGATTGTATAAAAAGTTCTAATTTATGAGTTCAATAAAATAATCATCAACTTATCAATAACCTCTATTGAGGTGTTAGATAAACAGTGTATTTTCTATAAGTATTTGCCGGTAAGCGGAGATCCAATACGAGATATTGAATAACACACATAATATTGCAACATTCAATTTCTCGATAAAATAAGGGTACTGTCCCACAAAGGAGTGGAGCGGGATGATTCACGTAATTATTTGAAAAAGCGATTTCCGCTCTCTGGTTTGAAATTGAAATAACATTTAGTGTATTTCGTAGCTTCATGCTTTTCTGCCACGTAGATAGATACAATGTTTGTGAGAGAATGAGGAAAGTTCCGGCGTCCGATCCACTACGGACCGTGGATCGGATAGGTACAATTCCACCAAAAAGTGTTGTCTACTTTCAGTACATTGCCTATTTGTAGTATAAAAAATACTTAAAACAGAGGTATACAGTATACAAGATAAGTAAGTATACAGGATATTGAATCATACTTTTCAATGCTGCTGTTGCGGGATAGATATGAGGTGTTGCTACGTCGGACAACTTTCTCGACAGATGAGTCATTGTACGTCACACAATTGCAGTGGGAATAGCAAGGGGCTTGGTGATGTCTCTTATTGGTTGTATGACTTGCTAGTTTCAATAGGAAAGTTCGTACTCTGATACTAGTGACGTCTGTCTTCCTGAAAAGTCTGGGATTTCAGACAGTAGCTTTTTATTGTTTCGGTTAAAATTACTAATTAATTTGAGTAGTATCGATCCAAGATAATCAGGGAATTTTCCTTTCTTTGGAAATAACGAAGGATGAAAGGAAGACAATCCTGTGATTTTAAACAAGCTTTTGGAAGGCCGTAATGTCCTTATAACTAAGCTACCAGCAAAATGAATAATGTCTTTTAAGTGTGAAGAGAATGCTGAGACATATCCTAGCATTCTCTTATCGTGACGTGCCCAATGACGGGGTAGCAAAGAAATCAAAAATCATTTATTCAGTCTAGGCTGTTACAAGCACTTGTGAAGGTCAAGAAGCTACGTCATCGTTTCGTAAAACTAATGTTAACTGTTTTTTTCTCCTTGTATTGTTATATACAGAGTCGTCAAGTCAAAAAATGACTTCATAGATACTTTTGAAGTCACCATCCATCATTGCCAACAGCTGCAGTCACTGCATGAAGATTGTCCTTCATTCGGTGAACAGGCAAGAAGTATTTCCTTAACGATGACCGCGCTAATAAAGGATTAATATTTTCTAGATGTTGCTTAGTTTGATTCTAGCATATCTCTAGTTTTCAGTACTGTCAGCGGTACATCGTCTCAATTCCTCTGTTACAAAAGCGTAAGGTGGCTGTCTTAGTGTTAAATAGAACGTGATTGTGCGCAGAACGTAGCGGATTTGTAGGGCAAACAGATGCGAGGCTCAATGGGCACGCCTCCGCAACTGGGGCGTGAATCGGAGATTCCATTCTGAAGAGCCTCTTGCGGCCACTCCGATTTTTCCGCTCCGCCGGTAATCCACAAATGTTCGCGCGCGGTCGGAGCTAGGCAACATTTTCTCCTACAATATAACATAATATAGGAATAAATCTTAATTTGCATAATTTTGAGAGGATAAATTTTGTTTTATAATTTTGAAATAAAAGTAGAAAACTTCGAGTGGGAATTGCGCACATCCATCTTTGATACCGGCGCATGCTTTTCCGACTTGGCTGTTGAGATAGTCAGTAATCTTACCTATTAGCGCTTGATGCTTATATTTGAATAATTAAAAAGAGTCTAGGTACCTAGTCCATTTAATATATAATAATATGCAACGTCACTACCAAAAAATCAATTGGTCGTCAGGTCATGTACCTTTAAACTATTGTACTTATTTATTGTATCATATTATAAATGATCTCTGGATATCTATGTATAAATATCTGGATCTACAGAACCGAATTTGTACATTATCCCCTGCGCTATTTGACAGCTGTGCTTAAGGGAGGAGGCGTAGCGGCTTGTCGCGTGAATGAACATCAGCAAGTTTGACACTTTCAAAAGAAATTATTTCAGCTTGGTGCATAATTTGGGCAAACACCCCGAATGACGGGCACTTAGGATGTTTCAATCAAATTAAACAGTACGCAGGGAGCTTAAAATCTTTGTGAGCTTTATGGGCGAAAGAACAACGCACCGGGATTAATTCTAAAGTGGTTTGTAGTAGATGTGCTTAAATTATATTCCTGTAACCTTATTCTTGAGTAACTGATTTTTCTTTCATTTTCAGTTATTTCTTAAGAATTTTGTATATGTGTTAAACTTACCATATATGACAGAGAAGAGTGATATATACGTATATTAACTAGCTGACCCAGCGAATTTCATACCGTCACGAAATTAGGGGTTGTTGTTAGAAGGGTGAAAATAAGGATTGCATGTTTTTTTTAATGCCGTATCATAAAATAAAAAAAAAACAAAAACTTTAAATATTGAGGTATAAAGCCACCCTTAAAATTTAGAGGTATGAAAAACAGTTAACGTCCTATTCTCAAACCTACTGAATGTAAACACAAAATTTCATAAGAATCGGTCAAGCCGTTTCGAGGAGTTTTGATACGAACACTATGACACGAGAATCTCATATATTAGATTAATGTGTCTAAACGTACGTGTATATGGTTTTTTTTGTAATATTTGTATAAAATTTACCAAAAGCCACGTTGTAAGATATTGAAAGCCATATTTTTCGCACAAAGAAACGTGATCGTAAAAATATTGCCTCTCATTAAATTCAGTATGCATAATAACCGTCTACCCGGCTCGATCAGGTCGTCAGCATACCACGATGTTAATATGTTAATTACGATTACCATATGTCGATTTTCAATAAACAGGTATATGTGAATGTATGTCAGTGAGCGCATTTTAATCGCAATTTGACGTTGCCTGTGGTTTACTGGCTCGATCGTCGACATTGCGGTCGAAATGGCGGCCCAACTTGAAAAACGATTCGCTTCCGCGGTCACCAATTGAATTCGCAATTCTCCGAGCAATGGACGTGAAATTTAGATTGGATTTATAAACGACTTAGCTTTGATATGTAGGCATTGGCATTGAATGAATGGCTTAA